CTGAGTTCACCTCCCTGAATGATTCACTGTGATGGCGTCTGGGAGAGATTTTATGGTTTTTACCAACCTGAAGGAGAAAGCAAATAGCATGGGATTGGTGCCAGGACCAGCACTTCTTAGGAAGGGAGGACAAGAGGCAGATTGCAGGGATTGCAGGCAGGCAGCTTGACACTGCACCCTGGCATTACAGTTGTGGGGAACATTAAACCCCAAGGTGATCATTGAGAGTCAGTGCTGGTTCTGTGTGGGGTCTGCCTGCAGAACTGCCTTGTGGGGAGGATGGAGGTGCTAGGACTAGGTCAGGCAGGATGGCTAGCAGGGATGCCCAACCAGACGTGTGGAAAATGAGGTGGGTGGACCAACAGGTTGCAACCTGTGGAAGGTGTCAGACAGTCCTAGGACAGGAAATGAGTAAGACTGGGCAGGAGGAAAGCCAAGAGCTCCAAGACATGCAGAAGGGGAAATGCAAGTGAGTTTGTTCATTAACTTATTGGACAGATATTTACTGAGCTAGGAGTTATGTGCCTAGCACTGTTCTACATTTGTAGACCTTTGTGTTGAACAAGATACCATCCCTGCCCACCTGAAATACATATTATTGAGGGAGATATTGTTGTTATGTGCCGTAGAGTCCGTTTCAACTCCTTGCGACCCTGTATAGACTTTATCAATAAGAGAATCTAAGATAGTGATAAATACCACAAAGAAAACACATATTAATGGAGTACTGTGTGCCTAGTAAAGGGTAAGGTGGCAGGAAAGATAATTTTTAAAAATTGGCAGAGAGGAAGATTTTGACAAAAAACTAGAACTTCTGAATGATGACCCAAAGCCAGCTATGGGAAAATCTAGAGGTAGAGCATCCCAACTAGGAGGAAGGGGAAATGCAAAGGCCGTGGGGTTGGAAGGAACTGAGTGGGCATTTCAAGGAATGGAAGTATAGCTAAAAACCAGTTGTGGCTGGATCATGCTGAACAAAGGGCCAGACAAAGAGGGAGAGGGAGTTGGACCCATCTGTGTAGTGCCCTGTAGGTCCTGGAAGAGTTTGGATTTACCCTATCTGTGATGAGAAACTACATGAGGGCTAGAAGTGGGGGAATGATTTGATCTGAGTTCTGTGAGAGTCCCAGCTCTGTGGGCGTGTGGTTTTAGAACAAATCAGAGTGAATCTTGTTTTTTGGAGGGTAGAGGGGGTTGGGGTAGGAGAGACACCTGATCAGGGAACATCTAAATACATTGTGGCTCTTGATCACAAGGAGGTATTTGACAAAGGCTCTCATGGAGAACGGGAAGTGGGATGATGGTCCCTGGATTGATTTATTCCTCCAGTGTTGATCCAGGATTACTGTCAGACTGGGAGGAGGGTCTCTGGCAGTGTCTCCAGGGCTCTGCCCTGGTCTCTCTCCTGTTCAACATTTCTATCTGCAAATTGGCAGAAGACCCAGAAGACATGCTCATCAGATATTCAGCTGATGCTGAGCTGTCAGGGACAGCTAATGCCACGGATGATGGGATCAAGATTCATAGGGATGATTCTCCACCGGCTAGAGTGATGGGATGAGGGCAGCATTATCTGTGATTGCATTCAGATTGGGGAGCAAAGCCAGCTAGAGAGCAACTCAGAGCTGGAGAGAAGTTAACAAAGGCAGCCTGTCCTACCTGCCCCTTTACTTTCTCTCTAGCAAAGTCTCTTACAGGGTCACTTTCTCATCTGTACAGTGGGTGACACTGTCTATTGTATGGAGAATATTCAATGTAAGGAAGCCTGGCTGCCCCGTCATGGATTCATAACAGAAGCACATGTAGTAAGAGTTTGCAGAGACTGGTCCAAGGGAAAGGTGGATACCCTTGTACTTTTAGGGGTCCACATAGGGACAGGGTCGGGGGTTGCTGTTCTTGACATTGTGCCTCTTCTGAGAATGTTGGCTTTGACCCCTATGGTATATCCAGAAGAAAATGATCCAGAAGAAAAGGATGGGGAGAGGTCTGGAAAACACATCCCACGAGACCCAGTGGGAAACAAGGGTAAGTTCTGAATGGAGAAAAGGAGACAGTTACGACTGGGGGTGGGGGGCGGGGAGGGGACACATGTTTTCTCACACACCAAAAGGGCTGTAGTTGGGGCAGGGAGAAGACATTCATCATTGCCTTGGAAGGAAGGCACTCTAGTGCCAAGGAGTGGAAGCTTGGAGAGGCTTACAGGGGTTCATGGTAAAGAAGCTTTAAGCATAGAGGATTGTTGTTGTTGTTAAGTGCCGTTGAGTCAGTTCTGACTCATAGCGACCCTGTATAGGGTTTTCGAGGAAGAGCAGCTGGTGAGTTTGAACCATGGACCTTGTGGTTCAAACTGACCTTGCAGTCCAGTGCTTATCCTATGGTTCTACACCAGGACTCCAGCACGGAGAGTTGTTGTTGTTGAGTGCCCCGACCCATAGTGACCCTGTATAGGGTTTCCGAGGAGCAGCTGGTGAGCTTGAACCACCAACCTTGCAGTTCAAATGGCTTTGCAGTCTGGCACATTAACCCACAGCGCCATACCATTGGATTAATTATACTATGGGTGTTTATTGAAGGCTGGCTTGTACTGTGGTGCACAATTTAGATAATCCTCACTCTGTAACTTTCTGAGGTAGGTTTGCTCTTCATTTGACAGATTAGAAGGCAGCTACTGGGCGGCAGGAAAGCGTGGTAACTCAATACAATAAGTACAGGACTGTGAACCATAAGGTCTGTAGTTTGAACCCACCAGCCACTCCACAAGAGAAAGATAAGGCTTTCTGCTCCCGTGAAGATTTAAAGCCTCAGAAACCTACACAGGGCTCATATGAGTTGGAACAAACTCGATGGGCAGAGCTGGGATTCTCACTCAGCTCCAGGTGACCAAAGCTCCAGCTTGTCCCTCTTTTGCCAACCTGGCTCCCAAGTGGGAGAGAGGTAGGAGTGTCCTTTCCTCTCAGCTGGTAAAAAGTGACCATTCCACAGACTTTGGGTTGGTTGGTTTGTTTTTCTGTATAGGGCCCTCAGGAGGAGCTGTGGTAGCGTAGTGGATTATGACCCGGGTGGCTGAATGAAAGGTCAGCAGTTCTTATCTACCTACCAGGCAGTCTGTGGGACAAAGATAAGGCTTCTGCTCCCATAAAGATGCACAGCCTCGGAAACCCTATTGTTGCTGTCGTTAAGTGCCCTCGAGTTGTTTCCAACTCATAGCAACCCTGTATAGGGTTTCCTAGGAGAGGCTGGTAACCTTTCAGCTCAAATGGACCTTGCAGTCCAGCGCATTAACCCACAGTGCCACACCAGAACTTCCTTGGAATCCTTATACCGGGTCATTATGGGTCGGAACCAACTGGGTGGCGCCACCACCACCAGGGACCTCAGAGTCCTACAGGTATTAGAGGCACAGACAGAAGTATATAGTGAACCGCTATGTACCTACCACCCAGCTTTGTTGTTTTTGTTGTTAAATGCTGGCGAATCAGTTCCAAGGAGTGACTGGGGGGTTTGAACCACTGACCTTGTGATTAGCAGTCCAGTGTTCACCCTACAGCATCACATCAGGACTCCATCACCCAACTTTAGCAATGATCAACGTATGACTAGTTATGTTTTGTACACTAATTCTTCTCCCATCTCCCCTTTCTCCCTACTGGATACATTTTAAAGCAGATCCAGGCATAATTTTGTCTGTATACACTTCAATTTGATTCTCCAAGAGGAGATGTTGTTGTTGTTAAGTACCATGGAATTGGTTCTAACTCATAGTGACCCTTCACAGGGTTTCCAAGGCTACAAATCTTTATGGGAGCAGAGAACCTCATCATTTTCCCATGGTACGGCTAGTAGTTTCGAACTGCCGACCTTGAGGTTAGCAGCCCGATTCGTAACCACCACCCTATCAGAGCTCTTTTATAGGGCTTTTAAAATATGTATATATGTCTCTCTCTCTCTCTCTCTCTCTCTCTCTATATATATATATATATATATATATATATATTTTTTTTTTTTTTTTAAGTATAACCACAATACCATTATCACAACTTAAAAATTGACCTGATTATAGGGGAATCTTTCAGAAAAGTGATTTGGTCTATATCTTGCTTTGTAAGATAGTTTTTGGGGGCAGGAGCAAAACTGGTTCTTCAGATGCCTGGTTTCTGTGACTTAGGGTTCACCTGTTCCCTTTGAGGATGATGAAGAGGTGGGAGAGGAAGAATAGAGGGGCAACCTTAAACTTAGGACCATGGATTAGCAACCTCTTTATTATGATTGTTCCCGGGTGCACAGCAGTGAGTTGGGCCTATTTACAGACGTGAGTCTAGACGTGGGAAGGAGGTAAAGAGAAAGGGAATGGAAGAGAGGGCAGGGAAGAAAGAGAGAAGACAGAGGATGGAAGGATAGAGAAAAAAAGTAGGAAATGGCCTTACCTCATGCACAGCCTTGAAGACTCTCAGGAGCATGCCAGGACCAGCCATGATCACAGTGAAGATCATAGTCAAGTTCTACGGAGGATGTCCTATGTGCATGGGCACCTCACCACATTCCAACCCCTACCCCATGAGTGGGTGCTATGTGACACAGAAGACCCCGAGGCTCCAGGGTCTGCCAGGAGGCAGGCAGTGGGGGAGTCTGCTTTTACCTGACATTAATTTCTGCCCTCAAGCATGTCATCCTGGTGAGATTACATGCAGGGCTGAAACCAAGGCCCAGTGAAGTGGTGACTTGCCTCAGTTCACCCAGCAAGAGGTAGTATTGGGAGAGAAGCCAGTGTCCCAGTTCTCAGACTGTACAATTTGCACAACAGCCACTGGTGGCCTGCAGAAACTTCTTGGGAATCTACTACTTGTTCATACATCTCTTTTAAGAAAGCAATCCTTTCTCTTACCTGGAAAAGTGTTTTCTTGCAGATGTACTTTCATCGTCTTTCCCTGGGACCTGTGCCTTACTGCAGAGCAAGCCCTTGGCAAATGGGTCCTAAAAATGTCTTTCTGATCTGTTTACAGAGCAAAGGAACTCAGTAGCAGCAAAGATGAGATCTCCTTGCTGGTGGAGCAGGAGTTCCTGAGCCTCGCCAAAGAGAACCTCATCTTGGTCAGAGAGAGCTCAGCTGAGTTGGAGGCACTTGGTGGCTCACCTGAGGGGAAGAGAGAGCCAACACCCTGCATTTTGGGCCCTTCTCTGGCAGCAGACAGCACCGAGCTCCCAGGACTCTCCATCATCCCCAGCGACAAGTTTCTGGAACGGAAGGTGACCATGTCTGTAATTGGCAGCCGACAGAACTGCGACTCAGCCATGTCTACGGTCACAGGCATCCTGCGCTCTGCCAAGGTCAAGAGTGCTAAGGGGACAGAAGATGGGGGTCACAGTCTGGGTACCTCCAACTCAGAGATCAGCAAGCTTCTAGCCCAGTTCCCTCTGAAGCCCATGGAAAAGAAGACCTCTGACAACAAGATGGTTCTAGAGGAGACGAGGGTCATCAAAGACTTCCTGCAGAACAGCATGTTCAGTGGTACTGGACCCAGGGAGCCAACAGGGCTGGGACCATTTCTGCTGTTGCCACCCCCACCTCTTCTTGCACCCCTGGATAAGCTCCCTGATCAGAAGAGGCAGCTCCCAGTGTTTGCCAAGATCTGTTCTAAACCCGAGGCAAACCCCATGACGGAGGAGCACCATTTGATGGGTGAGTGTGGCTGGGAGCAGGCAGAGAGAGCAAGCCTGCCAAGAAGCTCATCAGAACTGTGTTGTTTATTGTTAAGTCGGTTCAAACCCATAGTGACCCTATGTAGGGTTTCCAAGGAGCAACTGGTGAGTTTGAACCACTGACCTTGCAGTTGAGTGCTTATCCTACAGCGCCACACCAATGCTGTGTTGTTGTTGTTTAGTGCCATCGAGTCAGTTCTGACCCATAGCGATCCTGTATAGGGTTTCCAGGAAGCAGCTGGTGAGCTTGAACTGCCAATCTTACAGTGTGGCGCATTAATCCACAGCACCACACCAGGACTTCACACAAGGGCTGTAGCAAGTTCTTAAGACACCTTTTAACGAATTAGGAATAGGTGATCCCTCAGGTGGGCACAACCCTGGTGCATGGGTTGACAGGCTGTGTGCAACCCTCACGTGCTTCCTCTCTCGATGTCCACAGGGGGCAGTTTGAATGAGCAAACATGGAGAAGAAAGATAGATACCATTTGGGAGCTGGCTCCTTTTTTGAATTCTCCAGCTAGCTAGAGGGTATTGAAAGAAAGGTTTCACCCAGCTGGGTCCAGAGGGAAGGTGCAGCCAGAGCATTGAAGCCTGAGTTGTTGTTGTTATGTGCCGTGGAGTCGGTTCCGACTCATAGCAACCCTGTAACAGGGTTTCCGAGGCTGTAAATCTTTACGGGAGCAGAAAGCCTCATCTTTCTCCTGCGGAACAGCTGGTAGTTTCGAACTGCTTTCCCTGAGGTTCATAGCCCGATTCGTAACCACTACGCTACCAGAGTTCCATGAAATAGGAGAGACCTTTTCCTGGTAACTGGGATTATTTAGCTTCCAGTGGGGACCCATGGAGACACCTGCTCTGGTAATGAGGCCTGGCCATCAGTGCTTAGGACCGGGCCATGGATGACTAGACTTTCCAGGAGCATTTCAATCTGTTGGCTCTGGGATCTGTTCCCTGGTACACTTAGAAAAGTACCTTCCCGTCCCATAATTGAGGACTTCATTCTCCCCGGTAAGTCCAGTCATCTCCCACATTTCTCCCACTCCATTCTCAGGATTCTGCATTTTGTGGTGACTCTGACTGTTCTGATGGGTAGTTTGGAGGAAGACTCTGGCAGGGACATTTGCCTACAGGCATCAGTCAATGTAGGGTATTGTAGGACAGAGCATACCCACCGTCACCCAAACAGAGAGATGTTTGTACTGGGGAAGGTCCAAATCCATTTCTCCAAGTAAATAGGAACACAGTTCTATGTTACAGAACATGCTGAAGCATTGTGGGAAGGCCAAGGAATTAGAACTATGCATAGGAAGCTAGTCTCTGGGTTTTGGACAATCTCGAGGGGTCTTTGGGGAAGATGAGCTGTGGGCATGAGAGGACTGAGCCCTGCCTGGAGGGGAGGGGACTTTCCTCAAGAAGGACATGTGGGTCTGTCTGATTGACTGCTGCGTTTGAGGCAGTCTTACCTTCCCTACCATGTGTGTGTATTGGTGTGTGTGGACAAGTGTGGACAAAGGTGTGCCAAAGACAACTTTGCAAGTTTGAGTGTCTTTGTTAGAGGAAACTGCAAGTAAGGGTACATCTGAATGTGTGTGTGTGTGTGTATACATGTTTGTGCATGCGTCTGTCTGGTGTGTGTATGGCTGTGTGCTGATGGTTGTCTGAAGAGGGTGCTTTGTAAATGAGTGAGCAAGCAAAGCTGTTTGAGGCAACTGTCGATGTGTGTGAGAGAATCTCTGCAGGTGTGTGGGTCTCTGGAGAGCTGGCTATTATTAGTGAGTATTGTTAGTTCAGCACACTGGCTGGGGGCTAAACTCAGCAACCAGAGACACTCTTGGAAAAGACTCTAGGGACACATTTTGCTAAAAATGCCATTTTCTCCTAAACTGGCTCAAGCTGGTGCACTCTTCCCTTTGCTGAGATGGTACTAGGAGGGTAGGTCCAGTCCCACTCAGACCTCACCCCAAGGCCCACAGTCTACACCCAGCAGGTAACACCAGGGCACAGGTCCCCTGATTGGGTTATTGTGTGTCTAGTAGGGTACACAGCCTTCCAATGGAGCAGCCCAGATCCTAGCCAAGCTCCGTGGAGACCTTCAAGGATCACCAGGCTGGGCACAGAGTGAAGGGAACTGGGGTGGGCAGAGCCATGCCTTCAAAAAACAACATGCACACACACAAGAACATACAGATAGGGAAGATAATGCGACACACGGGTGCCTATCTGTCCAACCAAGCTGCTAAGTTTGGTTGGACAGATTGGCACCCGCGTGTCCTTCTTGAGGAACGAAATGGGAGGAAAGTCCCCATCCATCCAGGTAGGGCTCAATCCTCTCATTCCCAAAGTTCATCTTCTCCAAAGAGCCCTCTGGTCTGTCCAGAACCCAGAGTCTAGCTTCCTGTCCCTGGCTCTAATTCCTTGGCCTTCCTGCCATGCTCCAGAATGTTCTCTCGGATAACTTTGATTTTTTTTCTATATAAATATACCCCCAAATGCACACTTAACTTTGTTTCAAGAAAGAGTTTCATTACTAAATAGAAGTTATTGTTGTTGTTGTTAAGTACCGTCAAGTCGATTCCGACCCTGTATAGGGTTTCCAAGGAGAAGCTGGTGAGCTCGAACCGCTGACCTTACAGTTCAAACGACTTCACAGTCTGACGCCTTAGCCCACAATGTGGAAACCACTGATATGGAGGATCCCACGACTGCCCAGATAAGGTCTTTGTGCTGGGGAAATGCTAGATGCACTTGCAGAGAGACCTGGGTCAACAACCATACCTGTCACTCTCCTACACTCTGGTCATATCTAGTAACCACACAATAGTTCTTTCAGACCTCCATGCCTTTGCCCATAGTTACCCTGTCTTCCTTCCTCATGCCCCAGCTTGGAAGGCCTTGCTGAAACCCCACTTCCTCCTGGGAGCCCTCTGGCCCTCTCAGAAAGTAGTCTCAGCCAACCGCTTTTCCTACTGTGTCCCTCTGTCACCTCACAATCCCCATCTGCTTTGTCCCAGAGCTATTTCTAGTATGTCTATCTCTTCCTCTGGTTGTGAGCTCCTGCAGAGAAGAGTCTGACTCTGACTCATCACAGTGTCCCCAGCCCTCAGGTCAGGGCCCTGGCATCGAAGAGTGAGCATGAATGAACACCGGCTGAATGGTCTATGACAATGAGACATAGGAGAGCCCATGACAAGAGGCACAACTGTGTGGCTCTGACCATGAGTTCTATAGGAATGTGTGCCTTTCCCACTAACCCACAGATTCCCTGAAGGCAAGATCTGTGTTCAAATCATCTTTGTATTGCCAGTGTCCAGCACAGGGCTTCTTGCTATTTAGTGATGGATGGTTGGGAGGGAGAGAGGGAGTGAGGGAGCTATGAAGGGAGGGAGAAAGTAAGGAAATTTGGATGGAAGAAAGCAATGATGGAGGGAGGACAGCATGGATGGATGAGTGAATGATGGAAGAAGAAAGAATGGACAGATGGTTCAATGGATGGTGGTTGATTGGACCACAGAATGCATGAATGTATGAAAGGTAAAGACCGGAATGAGCAGTGGGCAGGGAAGGCTTCAGGGAGGAGACTGGGTTTGAATTTGGTTGGGAGGAGGGGGAGAGGAATGAGTCCCCCAGAGTGTCCTGAGTCTCAGGAGTGTCCTTTGGAGGACCCTCTACTTAGCTCACAAGAAGATGGTCCTCACATCCAGCACTTGGCTTCTCCAGCACACTGACTCAGTTTCCTCCTGCTCTAGAACGGAACCCTAGCACCAAAGAGCCGACCAAGGGTCGAGAGAGCCTCTTCCTCAGTCAGTGGCCCCAGAGCCGGAAGGATAGCTGTGCTGAGGAAGGGTGTAGTGATCCCGTGGGCACCATGTCCGTGGCCCTGCCACCCAAGAAGCCTGCCTGGTCAGCAGAAAAGAACCTGCTCTATGAGTTCCTTGGGGCCACCAAGAACCCCAGTGGGCAGCTGAGGCTTCGCAGCAAAGTGGAGATGGATGCACTGGAGCTGAAACGTAAGCTGGCCGTACCCAGGGAGTATCTGCAGTGAAAGGGAGCCCAGCATCTCTCATAGACCCCAAAGTGGCTGTATCAGTGAGGGGATGTGTCATCTAAGAACAAGTCACTGTCTTTCTCTGGGCATCAGATTTTAAGCCTACAAAATGGGGAAATGACTTCCTGCCAATGTTTCTTATTGGGAATACAATAACTAGGTAAATCCAGTTGGCTTTCAGGGTCACGTGGACATTATTCATGGTCAGTTTTGCATAGAGTCTTTCCTAATCCAGCGTATATCATAATCTATCAAATTGCCAAAGAAAAGTCCGTAGTTTTAGATTACTTTTAGAGTGAGATTCTTCCTTGTCCTTCTATAAGCGACTGTTTCAGCCAAACTTCCTTTCCCAAAAAAGATTCCAATGGTCGGGGGAGAGGAGACTGAGGACCCTGTTTCTTGTTGTGGTCATAGGACAATTGTATGGAGGGAGAGATTCCAGGATTCATATCCTAAAACAACTCAACCAAACTTCATTCATTCAGACAAATTTGGACTCATGTCAAGCTGAGTTATATAATGTTTTAAAGGGTTATTAAAAAATACTATTTCCGTATAGATACAACAGCCTGTGCAAGTTTTGCAGCATTGCCAAGTGTATGTCCTTAGGGGGTCTGCTTTAATAATTTGATAAGAATGAATTCCAGTGGCATAGCAATTGTTTGTCTAAAACTTGATTTTTCTCAAACACTTGAAAGAATTTGGTTTGTAAATAGGGGAAATATAGTCCTAGCAATATGGTTTATTGCTTTCCTTCTCTAAACTGCCTCCTTCATTAAAGAATGATGGGAAAAGAAGCTCTAAACCAGACCATATCGGGATTTTCACACATTCCAAACTAGCAAAGGAGAACTAATGATGTTTCCCCATAGTTGGATATTCACCAGAACCTTGAAGAACCATCTTGGAGTGTAAGAAACCTGATCTCTAAGAGAACATTAATCCCTAGGTAGTTGTGCTGAGAGCATCCAGCTCATTCCCAGCCCCAGCAGCTGAGCGATTTCACCTCTCCTGTGACTTGCAGTTAACCCACCTGTAACAGTGGCAGACAAGAACAGCAAGTACACAGGGAATGTGTTCACCCCACGCTTTGCCACAGCTTTGACCTCAGCAGCCCTGAACCAGCCACTCTGGCTCAACCTGAACTACCCACCTCCGCCAATGTTCACAAATCACTCCGCCTTCCCACAGTATCAGGTGAGCACATGGGTATGGGCCCAGCTCCTCATGTGACTGTTCACGCCGGGTCTGACCTTGGAGGAGAGGTAGCTTTCAGAGAGCCCATATTTCATAAAGAGACCTTTTGACATCCCTTGAACCCATCCTTACATTCCAGAAGCTTCACTGGAATGACGGTAAGTAGCTATTGACTTGTCAGTTCTTTGTTTCTTTGTGGCCGTGTAAGACCAGCCATTTGGTACATATATCATGGACACGTATGTATACTTATATGCATATCCATATGCAGGGAGGTTTCAAAAAGTTTGTGGAAAAATCCATTGTTATTTTTTTTTAAACTTTTTATTGTGAATTGAGTGAAGGTTTACTAACGAGATCATCAGCTTTACAGTCAACAAATCGTACATGGTGTTTCCTCTTACAGATTGCAGTCCCCTCCATTGCCTCCCTGTGGTTCCGATTTCCCTTCCACCCACCTTCCCATGCCTTATCAACTTTGTCCTTAGGTACATGTTGCCCCTTTGAACCTGTATGATTGACCGTCCCATCATTCATAGTGAGCATACCTTACTAGCGTTTTTGTGACCCCATATAACTATCTGCTGCTTGGCTGAAAGTTGGGCCACAAGGGTGAGTTCTTTTCCAGATCTGAAGAGTGGTCGAAGGCCAGTCTCAGGTTCCTCCAATCTCTTTTTGACCAGTAAGCTTGGTCTCTTATTTTTTTAATAATTTTGAGTTTTGTTCTATATATTCTGCCACTATCTCTGGTACCCTCTAATGTGATTCCTTTTAGAGCAGTTGGTAGTGGTGGCCGGGCATCTTCTAGTTCTTCTGGTCTCAGAGTCGTGGACACTGATGTTCACCTGCTCCATTGGTCCATTGGACTAGTTGATTCCAAGTCTCTTCAATTCTAATCATGCTTTCTTCCATACATGGAGACACCAATAGCTGCACTTTTCATGGCCTCTCATGAGCTTTTAATATCCCAGACAATACTCGCCAAAGTGAGATGTAGAACATTGTCTTTGTGGACTGTGTTGTGTCAGTTGACCGTGGTGTCCCCTAAGGTTATGGTCCTGAGCTCCCAGGCCCAGCTACTCATGACCTTTTCAGCACTGCTAAGCTGGAGTCCTGGTATGGCACTGTGGGTTAATGCTCCAGACTGTGAAGCTGTTTGAACTGCAAGGTCAGCAGTTCAAGCTCACCAGCTGCTCCTCAGAAACCCTATACAGGGTCACTGTAGTTGGAACTGACTCGACAGCACTTAACAACAACAATAACAAGCTACATTTGAGAAGTCTTTGATTGGACCAGTTACGGTGGCTTGGCACATATTTTTGGTGTTGGGCTCATAGCTAAAAGGAAATGTGACCAGACACAAAGAGATGATGAACCATTTGTAGTGGGGTTAAAAACTTTGCTCACAGAACTTATTTATGCAGGGAAAATGTAGTTACTTTCTTTGTCTATTTTACTTAATATCCCTTAAGAGCTCCTGCCCACTGGGTAGAAGAAGGGAGAAATCAAATAAATGTCCACTCTGGTTTAAACCTTAGTCCAATCCAATAACTTAAATAGCCCCTCTGGTAATGCCCAATTTGTCCAGGAAAGATGCTTGGTATCTAAGAGTTTTCAATCTTCTGTTCCCTTACTTGGCGCCTCTCCAGCATAGGATGCCGTATATTAGGATAGGATAAGAATTCACACAAATCTGTGAGCCCAGTTCCTTGGGAATCCTCTGTCTCAAGCTGGTCAGTTAATGCCTGGAGAAGGCGACTAGAAATATATGCCTGACATTTGGCTTGTCCTGCCTCCATATCTCTCCCCCTTCCCTGACCCCTCTAGTCCTATGATGGTTCATTTTCTCTGTTAGCTTGTCTTGTCTATGGTTCCTAATTGTTTGGCCAAATGATATTCTAGTTGCTGTCATGGAGTCATTATGTGTGTTTAAATTAATTGACCATGGGCAGAGGAAATTACTTTCCGTAATGCAATGTAATGTAATATAATCACTTTCCATAATACAGTCTGATGTATTATAATCAACCAGTCCATGGAGGCTGAACCAGTGTAGGGTGAATCTTAAACCTAATCACTTGTGAGTGATAAAAAGGCCGCAATAGATACAGACAAACACATATAAGAGAAAACAGATGCCCCATTAGGATAGTCTACAAACCAAGACACGCCAAAGAACATTTGGGGCTCCCAACAAGGAAGAATTAACTTGACCAAGACCCTGATTTAAATGTGTAGCCTCCGGAGCTATAAGAAAATACATTTCTATTCATTAAAGCCACTTACCTGTGGGATTTGTGTTTCAGCAGCATTAGGTGGCTGAGACAGGTCCCCACTTCATGTGTTTGGTGTCAGCTGCCCTACATGTCAGCTCTGTCTTCGCTAGTCCATGGGAGGACTCTGAGCTGGTCTACCAAGCTTGGTTCCTTAAACTGGAATTCGATGACTTTGGTGAAGTCTCTCTTTTTTCCCCTTGAGTTGTGTCTCCAAGCCTTTTTGCTTGTTTGTGCACCCTCTGTGTCCCTCAGGACAGATAGCCCTCATGTCCCACGGTGGAGGTGAGTGGTTGAAATGAAATCTCAGTATATTACCCTTACATAGGAGTTCTGATGGTGCTGTAAGATACACACTAGTCTTCTATCCACAAGATGGGCAGTTCAAACCCACCAGAAACTCTGTAAGAGAAAAAGGAGGCTTTCTGTTCCCATAAAGATTTACAGCTTCAGAAACTCTGTACAGCATGGGTGGGCGAGGTCTTGAAATCATTTGGTCTGGTACTTGCCAAAGCAACCGCAGTTCCAGCCATCACATTGTTGTTATTGTTGTTAAATGCCATTGAGTTGGTTTCTGTATAGGGTTTCTGAGAAAACGCAGCTGGTGAACTTGCACCACTGACTTTATGGTTCAAACTGACCTTGCAGTCCAGCACATTAACCCGCAGTGCCACCAGAGTTGAGTTCATTAAATGTTTGACCAAATATAGCAAGCTAATTTTTAAGCTGACCATTTTGTATGGCCCCCAAATAATGTTATAAATTTTGGCAGAAAAAAAGTTCCCCTCCCCTGCTGTACAGGGTGGCTGTGAGTCAAAACCAATTCGATGGCTCCTAATGACAACAGCCTTAACCTTTGAGAAGTGTATTGTTCATTTACTCACGGCATCCCTGACTCCTCTGTCGTCCTTCCACCTGTATATTTTTGTGCTTGCTCATTCAAGGATCAGTCATTTGCCTTCTCTCTAATTTACCCATTTTTCTTTATTTACACATTCATTTAAGCAATTAAAAGTATTTTTTTCTACTATAGGTCAAGCATTGTGCTAAGAGGGAGGTTTCCAAAGTGACTGTCAAGCTCAGGATCTAATGCGGGGTTGACCAGTGGGCATACTGTGTGCCTCTGTGTCTATCTCCTCAGACTGCTGTAACAAAGCCCCACAGACTGAAATGCCTCACAGCCGGAAGCCACAAGGTCACCTCAGGGAAGGGGCAGTGATGATAGCTGCCCAATGTTCCGAGAGAGAAATTGTTCCATGACTTTGGTAGCTCCCAGCATCCTTGGCGTCCTTTGGCTTGCACCTGCATCTGCCTTCATCTTCACTTGGCTGTCCTTCCTGTTTTTCTGTCTCTGTGTCTCCTTTCTTGTCTAATCCAAACACTCAGTTTGGATTAGGACCCTTAAACATCTCCTTATGTCAACTGATAACATCATCAAAGACCCTGTTCCCAAACAAGGTCCCATCCATAGGCCCAGGGGTTAGGAATTTCACCTGCCTTTTGGGGGATACAATTCAGTCCATACTAGCCTTCCCCTCTGAAACAGAAACAATTATATAATTCTGTTTAGTATAAACCTTTTTAAAAGCACCCACAAAGCTCCCATGCAAAGCTAATTTGCAGTGGTTTGCTTTATAAGGGGGAACTAATATCTCTTTGTAATGTTAATTTCTTCTGACACCACTTTTTGGAGTGACTTACATTCGGACTTAGCATTTTCCGAGCATGAAGGTGCCCTGTCTTTGTGATGCCAGCATTGACATTGCAGAGCTGACTCCCACGTTCCCCATCTGTGGGCAGAGTGGTCGAGGCCTGATATAATGCATTTAGGCACCAAATGGGCCCCGCTGACCTCTGCTGTTCAATGAGTTGATCTTCCCAGGGGACTGCAAAGGACAACTTAAATTACCTTCTCTAGCTTCTCATGACCTCAGGACAGCATCCAGTTTTAAGACCAAGAAAGATGGCAGATTTTGGAACTTGTAGACTTGGGTTTGAAAGAATCATGCTGCTTCCAGGCTGTGTGACCTTGGGCAAGTGCTTACAGTGCTCCGAGCCTTGATTTCCTCACTTATAAAATGTTGTTAGCTACCCTGAGCCAGCTCTGACTCATGTTCAACTGAATGAGACAGTCCTGTGCCAACTTCGCGACTGTTGGTATGCCCCAGCTTTTGGTTGTGGTTAGTGTGTATTCTGAGTGCCTTCCTGTTCAACTTCTAACACTATATCGGATAATTTTCTGTTGCAATCTGTAGGGTTTTCATAGGCTAGTTTCCAAAAGTAGATCACCAAGCCTTTCTTCCTGGTCTGTCTTAATCTGGAAGCTTTGCCGAAATCTGTCCACCTGGGGACCTTGCTGGTATTTGAAATACTAGTGTCATAACTTTCAGCATTACAGCAACATATGACTCACTACAATTGGACGAAGTGACAGACCAGTCAGTGATGGGTTTGTAAAGTGAGCTAAGAATCACTGTGTTGGCAGCAGCAGTGTAAAGTTGAGTCTCTTGTAAGGGTTGAAGGAATCAATGGGTGGAGAAGGGCTGTGTAACATATTGCGTATCATACAGGTGTTGATTTCTGGTATTATTTAGTCACAAGCTTCTTAGGAAATGTCAGAGTGTACCACAGACCTTCAGGCTGAGAAGACAAAGAAGTCGTCCTTGCGTGGTGTTAGGAATATAGATGAGGCCCCCAATCCAGTTTGCTCCAAATGACACAGAGATG